AATTTTGGTGTTTCTTTTTTCATGAATACACATGGTGGGGTGGTTTTTTTTTTGTTGCTTTCACACGTTCTGAATTTATTTTTTTAAACAATAATATTAAAACTAACCCATTAAGATGAATGCACAATTTAAAACTGCTGCCTATAATTTTCTGCTAGCAGATTTGGGACATTTAAAGAAATCTTTATATAGTTTTCATAATTGGTAACTGCCCATCTACTTCAGCCTTCATGTAAAATTTGATTTCTGTTATTGACTTGTTTTTTTTCCTGGCAAGCGAGGAGTTTCATGGACAAAATAGAAGCTTATGATTGAGTCAATATTTGAACTTGGATCTTGTTAGTTTTCTATACTTCAATCAATCATAAGTAATAAAGGTAAAGTTAAATGTTCCCCTCGCACATACATGCTAGTTGTTCCCGACTCTAGGGGGCGATGCTCATCTCTGTTTAAAAGCCGAAAAGCCAGCATTGTCTGAAGATGTCTCCGTGGTCATGTGGGCAGCATGATTAAATGCGGAAGGCACATGGAACGCTGTTACCTTCCCACCAAAGGTGGTTCCTATTTTTCTACTTGCATTTTTACATGCTTTCAAACTGCTAGGTTGGCAGAAGCTGGGACAAATAATGGGATCTCACTCCATTACCCGGCACTAGGGATTCGAACCGCCAAACTGCCAATCTTTCTGATCAACATGCTTCTTAGCCATGGAGGCACCACGTGCCACATCACGTCCCATGTGTGCCTCCAGCATGTAGTCATGCTCGCCATATGACCACGGAATTGTCATAAGACAGCATTGGCTCTTCGGCTTAGAAACGGAGATGAGTACCGCCCACTAGAATTGAGAACGACTAGCACGTATGTGCGAAAGGAATCTTTATCGATATTATAAGTAATATTAGAGATTCAAATAGAATTTTGATGTTTATTTTTTCATACTAGTATATGGGGTGTTTTTTGTTGCTTTTATATGTCCTGCAGCCATTTTTTAAACAATAATAAAACTAACCCATTTATATTACTCTTACAGAGGGAGAGGATGCCAAGAAGAGCACGCTAGACAATAGAGAATGAGAAGCAGCATTAAAATGCAAAATAAACCATCAATCAAAATCTTTTTCAATTCCTCTGCAAAGTGTAAAAACTCTTCTTCCTCAGCAGATGAGAGAAAAGGGAAAAAATAACAAGAACAAAATTTTGACATGGAAAAAATAGAGTGTATGGAACTGAAGAAAACATTGCATGAAAAGTTGAGGATAATTTCTAAATAGAGAAAAAATGGGGAACGCCTGGAAGTGAGTGAGAAGAAATATATTCAGTGGATAGCCAAAATTGGCAAGCCTTTGAGGAAGGAAAGGATCAAACAACCACCAGGCAGAAGATCAGAAAACTTTTTCGCCTCAAGAATCCAAGAATATCAATGTTAGAAAAACCCAACAGACTGCCTAATGTGGGACAAACACAGAATGCAGATCATAGCTGATTGTGCACGAGAGGATACACCCAATGAAAAACCATACAAATGTTTGGAGTGTGGCAAAAGCTTTACTCGGAAAAGCTTCCTTGTGATTCATGGGAGGACCCATACAGGGGAGAAGCTCTATCAATGCTCCCAATGTGGCAAAAGATTTAGTATGCATTGCAATCTGGTGAGACACGAGAGGATTCACACTGGGGAGAAGCCCTTTGAATGTCCTGATTGTGGGAAAAGTTTCAGTCAGAATTCAAATCTGGAGATACACCAGAGGACTCACACAGGAGAGAAACCATATGAGTGTGCAGACTGTGGGAAATGTTTTAGACAGAATTCTAATCTCGTGAGACATCGGCGGACTCACACAGGGGAAAAACCATATGAATGTTCAGATTGTGGGAAATGTTTCCAAGATAATTCCAACCTGGTGAATCATCGGAGGACTCACACAGGTGAAAAGCCCTATGAGTGTCTGTATTGTGGGAAAAGTTTTAGGCAGAATTCCCATCTAGTGGAACATCAGAGTATTCACACAGGAGAAAAACCATATGAGTGCCGAGAATGTGGGAAAATATTTCGGTGGAATTCTCACCTGGTGGTGCACCAGAGAACTCACACAGGGAACAAACAGTATCCATGTCTGGATTGTGGGAAACGTTTCAAGCAGAATTCCAACTTGCTGATTCACCAGAGGACTCATACGGGAGAGAAACCCTATGAGTGTCTGGATTGTGGAAAAAGTTTCAAGTATAATTCTAGCTTGGTGATTCACCAGAGGACTCATACAGGAGTGAAACCATATGAGTGTTCAGAATGTGAGAAAGGTTTCAGTTGTAAGTCTGAACTGGTGAAGCACCAGAAGACTCACACTGGAGAGAAACCATACGAGTGCCTGTATTGTGGGAAAAGTTTCAGTCAGAATTCCAATTTGGTGATACATCAGAGAATACACACAGGAGAAAAACCATATCTGTGTCTGTATTGTGGGAAAGGCTTCAGTCAGAATTCCCACCTGGTCATACACCAGAGGACTCACACAGGAGAAAAACCATATGAGTGTTCAAAATGTGGGAAAGATTTCAGTTGCAAATCTGATCTGGGGAAACACTGGAAGACTCACACGGGAGAGAAACCATATGAGTGCCTGTATTGTGGAAAAAGATTTAGCATACATTCCAATCTGGTGAAACACAAAGGTACTCACACTGGGGAGAAACTCTTTGAATGTCCTGTTTGTGGGAAAAGTTTCAGTCAGAATTCCCACCTGGTGGATCACCAGACAACACATACAGGAGAGAAACCGTATAAATGTCATGATTGTGGGAAAAGTTTTAGTCTGAATTCCTACCTATTGAAACACCAGAGGACTCACACCGGAGAAAAACCATATCAGTGCACGGATTGTGAAAAAAGTTTCAGTCAGCATTCCTACTTGGTGAGGCACCGGAAAACTCACACAGGAGAAAAACCATTTCAGTGTCTTGAATGTGGGAAAAGTTTCAATCGGAATTCCCATTTGATGAGACACTGGAGGACTCACACAGGAGAGAAACTTTATGAATGTCCCGATTGTGGGAAAGAGTTCAGTTATAGGTCTAGCCTTATAAAGCATGCAAGGTTACACATAGGGGAGTAATCATTCAAACGCCCAGATTGCAGAGTTTTTATACAAAGTTCACACATCTTTTTAAGGCAAGCTGTTCCATTGGTTGATTGTTCTGACTGTCTTAAAATTCTCCTTGTTTCTAGTTTGAATGTTTCCTTGATCAGTGTCCCATAGTTTCTTTGGCCTTCGAATCCTTTGGAAAATAGTTTGTGTCTCCCCCCCTCCCGCCCTTTTCGACAGCCTCTCAAATATTGGAAGACTGCTATCATGTCACACCTGGTTCTGCCTTTCACTAGGTTAGTCATGCCCATTCTTGTAACCGTTCTTCATACATTTTAGCCTACCAGCCTTTGATCTTGGCTTCCTTTCTTCTACCTTTTTCTTTCCTTCCTCTAATCTCAGCTGAGCTTTCTTTCTCTGTCTGAGTGAGATAGTTCCCATTCACGGAATTGAGGGCTACTGCTTTGCTGGGCCAGAGGAAGCCATTTTGGATGTTCATTCAGTAGGTTTGCCGCCTTGACTTATTTCTACATACATGTAGAATATGTAGTATGTATGTATGTATGTATGTATGTACCACAATAATATAGGGCAGTGATGGTGAACCTTTTCAGCACCGAGTGCAAAACTGGATCGTGCATGCATGCATGTGCATAGAGTGCCGGAAACACACCTGGTGGAAACCGACCAGCTGGCCCACGTGCCCAAGCCTTTATTAGGCCATTTTTGTCCTGAAAAACAGCCTGAACACGGCCTGAAAAATGCATTGGTTTTTGGCTGTTTTTGGTCACTTTTGGGGCTGTTTTCTGGCATTACGGTGCCCGTGAAGACCAGCTGGCTGGCACACATGTGCAAGCCAGAAATCAGAAGAGTAGCTGGCGACAGCCTATGTGCCTACAGAGCGGGCACTGCATGCAACACCTGGCACGTGTGACAAAGGTTCGCCATCATGGGTATAGTGTCTCCTCCTTGAGCACCTCTAAGATCCCTTCCAACTCTGTTATTCTCTTCTGTATTTTTACTTAGCATGGAAATGCATATGCCAGCCCAACTAATGGTGACTCTGCACAGTTTACAGCAATAAAACCTTAATACAAAACCCAATAAACACCATATATTGCAAAATGCAAAACCTCGACATTTAACATGTACTTGTCCTGCAATGTAGCATACTTCTATCAAGGTTGATGGCCTTTGGATTGTCTGGGAATTGCAAAAAGGTGATTCTTCCTTTTGTTCAAATTAGAAGTCAACTAGGCACTCTGGTCTTACTAACTACATTCATGCTCGGTGCTATTCCTTCTCCAAACTGGTAATCATTCTCCTTGAAAGGAGTCAATTTGGAGAAGTTGACCACAGGATTAGCAGCAAGTAAATTTCATAATTAAATGTGTAGAGTGCCTCAAGCAACTTGCAAAAGCACAGCCCGAGGGCGGACATTTTTAGGATTCATCTCTTTTTCTCTGATTTATTTAAAACATTTATGTAGCCATCCATGTTACAACAAATACTGGCCGGCTCTCAGTCAATAATTGCCTTAAAACTATAAAAACCAAATACGTATAAACAAAAACCAGATACGAAATCAAGCTGCCAGGCTGGGAAAGGGCACAATTGATGCACCAAATGAATCTGTGCAAATCCCCTCCCTAGCCATGGCTGCTTCAAGCCCAGGAGCTGTGAGTGCAGGAAGACCCCCAGTTTGTGGGCCAGCTCAAGTCACAAAAGGTGATTGCATGACCCCAGGAGAATGCAACTGTCACAAATATGTCAATCGCCAATTGTCCCTATTTTGATCACATCACCATAAGGATGCTGCAATGGTGGTAAGTGTGAAAAACGATCATGTCACCTTTTCAGTGCTGTTATATCTTCCAAAGATCACTAAATGAAATGTTATGTCTAAGCCCAAAAGGTAAAGGCTCCACTTGCACATATGTGCTAGTCATTCCTGACTCTAGGGGGTGGTGCTCATCTCCATTTCAAAGCCGATGAGCCAGTGCTAGGCATTTGAACCACTGAAGTGCCAACCGTTCTGATCCAGAATCTCAGCATCTTAGCCACTGAGTCTTTCTCCCTATCTAAGGCCACCTGTACATCATTGGGTATCATAGTATGGATGGCTTCTAGTGGATTTAGGTAGATGTTAACAAGCAAGCAGTGAAAGCCTTGAGCCCTGAGGCACTGCAAATTGCAGGGATCAAAGTTCGGCCCATCTTCTACCCACATGGACTGGAACTGGCATAGAGGTAGAAGTAGAAAGAAGTAGAATAACAAAGCTCCTCCCATTTCCTGTCTGCAAAGCCTTTCCAGGAGGATGTCATAGTCATAGTTATTGCAGATGAGAGGTCTAGGAGGGACATGATGACTAATCTTAAACCTAACAACAGACCATGAGAATTGTAACCAATGCCGTTTTGGTGATGTGCCCTGGTCTGAAGCCAGACTGAAAGGGCCCAGTGTCTTTCCTCCTGCACAGCCCTTTCTCTGGGTGGCAAAGTCANTGGACTGGGTGGGGGAGAACTTTGATTTTTAATGTGGGTGGGGAAAACCTCGGGACCGTCAGAGTCGGGTTTTCACCAGATGTGCCAATATGACATGCCCAATAAATCTTTGAGGAGCAGTTTGGCCTCGGAGTTTGATTGCATTGGGTCTGTTACTTAGAACCTGACAAGAGCTGCTTTATCAGGAGACAACTGGACTTTTTGGCTTGTCTTTGAAGACGTTTCTCTTCTCATCCAAGAAGCTTCTTCAGGTCTGACTGGATGGTGGTGGTGGTGGTGGAAGGATTCCTAGTCCTTGCAGACAGCTGGTCATTTGTATTCTTTCGGGGAGTCTTTGAGGCCATCTGTGTTCTCTGGGACACCTGAGTAGTGCAAATGGGTATGGAGCCTTCCTGGCCGCAGGATGTTTTCTGTCCTGTGTCCCTTCACTGTTCAAGACAGGCGCAGGCTGTTGGAGGTGAGTCTCTGTTGTCTGCACCTCACGTTGAAATGAAATGCTTCCTGTAATTTTCCCGGAAATCCATTGAAATCATGACCTGGCTGACTGGGAATCCCCATAGACAATTGGTTCCATTGCTAAGAAGGGATGGAGCACCAGTAGTATCCTACTGCCATGCTGGTTATAAAGTAAAATCACAGGAGAGATAAGGGGTCAAGTTTCAGTCTTACAGCTTCTCTAAGTGGCAGAGGCAGGTTTTGAATTATCCTGCACAAACACACACACATACACACATCCAAAGAAAAAAGCGATGGGAAACCAAGGGAGGTGCACTTTCTCCCTATTTGCACGTCATTTCTAGTCCCCCCCCCCCCCAAGGGAGCTTTCCTTTGGTTGAGTTGCCGTTTCTCGCAAAGGTAGCTCCAGGGACAACGAAGGCCCTCTCGGGGGACCTGAAAGAAAACGTTCGGGGATGGATCCTCAGGGAGAAAAGCTTTCGATGACGTCGATGTGAGTCGAGTAAGACTTGAAGAGAACATCTTCAAATGCTTTAGGGTTGAACGAGCATGTTCTTACGCCATATGTCACTAGATGGCGCTCTACAAAGAGGCAACGGTGCGGCGGCGACTGAGCTATTCTAGGGAAATTGGTGAGGCTAAGATTGAACGGGTTGAAATGACAGAGTAGTGCATTGCTAGAGCGGATCTAGAGAGAGGGAGAGAAAGAGAAAGAGAGAGGGAAGGAGGCGAAGGGCAGAGGAACTTCTTCTTCCGGGTCACCCACGGGAGGATAATGGTGTCGCCGGAGCCTCTTGTGCCGTTTGGAGGGTCGAAGCGGCTCCTGGGAGGTGAGTGGAGGGCAGGTCGGAGGAGAAGCCGGGAGAAAGTCGACCCCTTTGACTTCCTCCACAGCCTGGAAGCAGCGAAGGGGCAATGATGAAGTGTTGGCTGCTGCTGCTGCTGCTGCATATTCTTTCCCTCCCCAAATTTTATTCCTCTGGGGCTGCTCGATTTAAAACTGCTGCTTGTGATTTCCTGCTGGGAGATTTAAAGAAATCTTGATATATTTTTCATATTTCTTAACCACCCGCCCCCCTCACCCTTCACGAATCACTTGATTCCTTGTGATTTTATTGACATGTTTTTTTTTCCCAGCAAGCGAGGAGTTTCATGGGCAAATGGGATACTTTAAATCTTGCCTAGGATTTGGGCATAATTTCATCTGTTAGTGTCCCCACCTTTCTAAAATTAGATCAAAAGATTTGAGCAAATGCACTTCTGGAACATTTTGCACACTGAAATATACATATAAGGTCTACATACATTTTTTTTTCATTTTCCCTTTATTTGTATGCCGCCCTTTTCCCTGGGGGGACTCAGGGCGGCTCACAATTAAAAAAAGGGGGGGGGGGGAGGACAAACAATTTCCAACATACAGACAATAC